AGCTCAGAGATATGTGGAGAGCACACACTCAACATCATTATTTAAAATCAGCAGTGAGGTTCTACTCCACTTCACACGCACATAACAACACCTCCAAACATCCTGTAGCTCATTGCTTAGTGATTTATATTCTGAATATAATTGTGTAGTGATGATATGGTTTTAGTCCCTGAAGGCAGCATCTCCCTAGACCAATGGGATTTCTCCATGTGATTTTGGATTATTGCAGAAAATAATCTGTCAAACAAACATTTATGATTCCTACACGTTTAATTCAGCAGGATAATCTCATGTTAACACCACTTCATGATTTCTGAAGAAAAAAGCTAATGTTGGGCTATAAAGGAACTACAGCACGGTCACATGACTTCACTTCACCAGCGATAAGCTAAAGGTGGCTAATGTTGGGCTATAAAGGAACTACAGCACGGTCACATGACTTCACTTCACCAGCGATAAGCTAAAGGAGGCTAATGTTGGGCTATAAAGGAACTATAGCACGGTCACATGATTTCACGTCACCACCGCTAAGCTAAAGGTGGCTAATGTTGGGCTAAAGGAACTACAGCACGGTCACATGACTTCACGTCACCACCGCTAAGCTAAAGGTGGCTAATGTTGGGCTATAAAGGAACTACAGCACGGTCACATGACTTCACGTAACCACCGCTTAGCTAAAGGTGGCTAATGTTGGGCTATAAAGGAACTACAGCACGGTCAAATGACTTCACTTCAACACCGCTAAGCTAAAGGCGGCTAATGTTGGGCTATAATGGAATTACAGCACGGTCACATGACTTCACTTCACCACCGCTAAGCTAAAGGCGGCTAATGTTGGGATATAATGGAACTACAGCACGGTCACATGACTTCACATCACCACCGCTAAGCTAAAGGTGGCTAATGTTGGGCTAAAGGAACTACAGCACGGTCACATGACTTCACGTCACCACCGCTAAGCTAAAGGTGGCTAATGTTGGGCTATAAAGGAACTACAGCACGGTCACATGACTTCACGTCACCACCGCTTAGCTAAAGGTGGCTAATGTTGGGCTATACAGGAACTACAGCACGGTCACATGACTTCACTTCACCACCGCTAAGCTAAAGGTGGCTAATGTTGGGCTATAAAGGAACTACAGCACGGTCACATGACTTCACGTCACCACCGCTAAGCTAAAGGAGGCTAATGTTGGGCTATACAGGAACTACATTACGGTCACATGACTTTACTTCACCACCGCTAAGCTAAAGGCGGCTAATGTTGGGCTATAATGGAACTACAGCACGGTCATATGACTTCACGTCACCACCGCTAAGCTAAAGGAGGCTAATGTTGGGCTATAATGGAACTACAGCATGGTCACATGACTTCACGTCACCACCGCTAAGCTAAAGGTGGCTAAAGGAACTACAGCACGGTCACATGACTTCACGACACCACCGCTAAGCTAAAGGTGGCTAATGTTGGGCTATAAAGGAACTACAGCACGGTCACATGACTTCACGTCACCACCGCTTAGCTAAAGGTGGCTAATGTTGGGCTATAAAGGAACTACAGCACGATCACATGACTTCACTTCAACACCGCTAAGTTAAAGGTGGCTAATGTTGGGCTATAAAGGAACTACAGCACGGTCACATGACTTCACGTCACCACCGCTAAGCTAAAGGTGGCTAATGTTGGGCTAAAAAGGAACTACAGCACGGTCACATGACTTCACGTCACCACCGCTTAGCTAAAGGTGGCTAATGTTGGGCTATAAAGGAACTACAGCACGGTCAAATGACTTCACTTCAACACCGCTAAGCTAAAGGCGGCTAATGTTGGGCTATAATGGAATTACAGCACAGTCACATGACTTCACTTCACCACCGCTAAGCTAAAGGCGGCAAATGTTGGGATATAATGGAACTACAGCACGGTCACATGACTTCACATCACCACCGCTAAGCTAAAGGTGGCTAATGTTGGGCTAAAGGAACTACAGCACGGTCACATGACTTCACGTCACCACCGCTAAGCTAAAGGTGGCTAATGTTGGGCTATAAAGGAACTACAGCACGGTCACATGACTTCACGTCACCACCGCTTAGCTAAAGGTGGCTAATGTTGGGCTATACAGGAACTACAGCACCGTCATATGACTTCACTTCACCACCGCTAAGCTAAAGGTGGCTAATGTTGGGCTATAAATGAACTACAGCACGGTCACATGACTTCACGTCACCACCGCTAAGCTAAAGGAGGCTAATGTTGGGCTGTACAGGAACTACAGCACGGTCACATGACTTCACTTCACCACCGCTAAGCTAAAGTGGCTAATGTTGGGCTATAAAGGAACTACATTACGGTCACATGACTTTACTTCACCACCGCTAAGCTAAAGGCGGCTAATGTTGGGCTATAATGGAACTACAGCACGGTCACATGACTTCACTTCACCACCGCTAAGCTAAAGGTGGCTAAAGGAACTACAGCACGGTCACATGACTTCACGACACCACCGCTAAGCTAAAGGTGGCTAATGTTGGGCTATAAAGGAACTACAGCACGGTCACATGACTTCACGTCACCACCGCTTAGCTAAAGGTGGCTAATGTTGGGCTATAAAGGAACTACAGCACGATCACATGACTTCACTTCAACACCGCTAAGCTAAAGGAGGCTAATGTTGGGCTATAATGGAACTACAGCACGATCACATGACTTCACTTCACCACCGCTAAGCTAAAGGCGGCTAATGTTGGGCTATAATGGAACTACAGCACGGTCACATGACTTCACTTCACCACCGCTAAGCTAAAGGCGGCTAATGTTGGGCTATAATGGAACTACAGCACGGTCACATGACTTCACGTCACCACCGCTAAGCTAAAGGTGGCTAATGTTGGGCTAAAGGAACTACAGCACGGTCACATGACTTCACGTCACCACCGCTAAGCTAAAGGTGGCTAATGTTGGGCTATAAAGGAACTACAGCACGGTCACATGACTTCACGTCACCACCGCTAAGCTAAAGGAGGCTAATGTTGGGCTATACAGGAACTACTGCACGGTCACATGACTTCACTTCACCACCGCTAAGCTAAAGGAGGCTAATGTTGGGCTATAAAGGAACTACAGCACGGTCACATGACTTCACGTCACCACCGCTTAGCTAAAGGTGGCTAATGTTGGGCTATACAGGAACTACAGCACGGTCACATGACTTCACTTCACCACCGCTAAGCTAAAGGTGGCTAATGTTGGGCTATAAAGGAACTACAACACGGTCACATGACTTCACGTCACCACCGCTAAGCTAAAGGAGGCTAATGTTGGGCTATACAGGAACTACAGTACGGTCACATGACTTCACTTCACCACCGCTAAGCTAAAGGTGGCTAATGTTGGGCTATAAAGGAACTACAGCACGGTCACATGACTTCACTTCACCACCGCTAAGCTAAAGGAGGCTAATGTTGGGCTATACAGGAACTACAGCATGGTCACATGACTTCACTTCACCACCGCTAAGCTAAAGGAGGCTAATGTTGGGCTATACAGGAACTACAGCACGGTCAAATGACTTCACTTCACCAGCGATAAGCTAAAGGAGGCTAATGTTGGGCTATACAGGAACTACAGCACGGTCACATGACTTCACTTCACCACCGCTAAGCTAAAGGAGGCTAATGTTGGGCTATACAGGAACTACAGCACGGTCACATGACTTCACTTCACCAGCGCTAAGCTAAAGGTGGCTAATGTTGGGCTATAAAGGAACTACAGCACGGTCACATGACTTCACTTCACCACCGCTAAGCTAAAGGAGGCTAATGTTGGGCTATACAGGAACTACAGCACGGTCACATGACTTCACTTCACCACCGCTCAGCTAAAGGAGGCTAATGTTGGGCTATACAAGAACTACAGCACATTCAAATGACTTCACTTCACCAGCGATAAGCTAAAGGAGGCTAATGTTGGATATACAGGAACTACAGCACGGTCACATGACTTCACTTCACCACCGCTAAGCTAAAGGAGGCTAATGTTGGGCTATACAGGAACTAGAGCACGGTCACATGACTTCACTTCACCAGCGCTAAGCGAAAGGAGGCTAATGTTGGGCTATAAAGGAACTACAGCACGGTCACATGACTTCACTTCACCAGGGCTAAGCTAAAGGAGGCTAATGTTGGGCTATACAGGAACTACAGCACGGTCACATGACTTCATTTCACCACCGCTATGCTAAAGGAGGCTAATGTTGGGCTATACAGGAACTAGAGCACGGTCACATGACTTCACTTCACCAGCGCTAAGCGAAAGGAGGCTAATGTTGGGCTATAAAAGAACTACAGCACGGTCACATGACTTCACTTCACCAGGGCTAAGCTAAAGGAGGCTAATGTTGGGCTATAAAGGAACTACAGCACGGTCACATGACTTCACGTCACCACCGCTAAGCTAAAGGTGGCTAATGTTGGGCTATAAAGGAACTACAGCACGGTCACATGACTTCACGTCACCACCGCTAAGCTAAAGGAGGCTAATGTTGGGCTATACAGGAACTACAGCACGGTCACATGACTTCACTTCAACACCGCTAAGCTAAAGGAGGCTAATGTTGGGCTATAAATGAACTACAGCACGGTCACATGACTTCACTTCACCAGCGCTAAGCTAAAGGCGGCTAATGTTGGGCATGATAACGTTTAGTCGTGTCATTTAGACACTTGTTAGCAACCTCCGTTTTTGAATTCACCAGTGGTGTAATTTTTATTTTATGTCATAGGACAAACTGTTAAAATCTCTTCAGCCTGTTTTAACCACAGACCTAATTTCAGACCATAAACACATTCAGAAAATAATTCACCTCCAGACCAGGGGCCCGAAAATGCTGAGTTGTTTCTATGTTTTACGACTAATTCCTGCACGACTGTCAAATAAATCCCCTGTAGCCCCTCCTCTATCATTCATACCCACAATGCATCAGTGACAGGGGCCTTACCTATGGCTGTGATGACCGGCTGCTCCCCCAGCAGCAGTTTTAGCCTCTTGGCGTGGATCTTTCCCTGGTAGTGTGACTGTGCCACCACGGCAGAGGTGAAGGACATGTTGCACAGCGTGCAGCACTTATTCTTGTCCACGTCGCCTTTGTCGCTGCCCTGAAAACAAACACAGAAATAACTTTGTAATGAAACACAGCAATACAAAACTGGAACCCACTCAAATCAAAGTGAGTGTACTGTGGTACTGTGATATTACAATATAAATAAAATGGCATCGATTACTGTACACTATAATGAAATAAAAAGACTTGTAAAAATGGTTCACTGAGGACTACACACACTCGTCTGTGTTGGATATGGCGTGTGTGTGTTACATGTTGTGATCATGGATGTTTCCCTCGTTTCTGTTGTGTGGTTGTGATGAGCTATATGTGACATGTAGGTAGTAACGTGTGCTTGCATTTTATTGTTCTCTTTTACCCTTGCGCTTCTATCTACTTGTCTTTATAACTAATGCTGTTGATGTGTTGTGATTTTAAAAAGGTGTCTATTATCATCTGTCCGGGGACAACAGCTGGAAATGAGCCATGTTGGCGAAAGCTGCTCCATTTACTGTTTGCTCTGACGGTTGATCAATGGGGACTGACCACGACACTACACACAAATAAACTGAACTTACAATAATCCAACACAGGCACTCATCTTTCGGTACAGGAGGTGTTGTGTAGAAAACAGAGATGGAGGGTAAATACAATTGTGAGGTTCTTTACTTGAGTGCTTCTGTTCTATGATACTTCTACACAAATGCATGTCAATGGGGAACAATGTATTCTACTTTTACTGACAGCTTTAGCTGCTTTCTAGATGAATAGACCGGTAGAAAAGCAGGTTCAAGAAGTTAAACATATCTATTATTTAAAGGTAAGAAAGAAAGTATTTTTGTACCCCAATGTTAAATGTCTGCCACATTAAATGCTAATTGATGCGATTATATTAAACTTATTATAATGTCATACGTAGACAGTGATATATTTTACAAATGAAGGCAAATCAATTGCATATTGAGTACTTTTTAATTGACACGCTTGCATTAGTACATTTAATTAATGTATATTTGGCAGGGTCAACGCACATTAATGAATATTTCTGTAAGTTAACAAAGAGGCTAGTTTGTGTTGTAAAGTCACCCTAAAAACAAGTTATATTTAAAATAACAACACAATAAAATAATGAAACATGCAATGTAGAAGTTCACAATACGGAAAATGCTAAAATACAATAAAAAAAACATTAGCACAAGTTAAAGACCTGAATACTTCCATTACGGAGAAAACACATTATACTGTTCTAGCAAAACAGCTGCACATTAAACACACCAATAATCACAAGCACTGTTATTCAGATGAGCGGACGGGGTGCAAAGACTTTAGATCCTGGTGGGATGCAAATGGAGTCATCTCAGTTTAAAGGGGTGATGGTGGACCCCTCCCTGAGCCTCCATCTGTGCGTGCCGCAGTAACACCCATGACACTGCAGTGATGAATGAGAGTATGGATGGATGCTACAGTTTGAGCAGAGGAGTGAGCAGGAGGAGAGGACTCTTTAAAGTGGAGACACTACATACTGATATACACCTGAACATCAGCAGGAGAGGACTCTTTAAAGTAGAGACACTAGAAACTGATATACACCTGAACATCAGCAGGAGAGTACTCTTTAAAGTAGAGACACTACATACTGATATACACCTGAACATCAGCAGGAGAGGACTCTTTAAAGTAGAGACACTACATACTGATATACACCTGAACATCAGAGGAGAGGACTCTTTAAAGTAGAGACACTAATTACTGATATACACCTGAACATCAGCAGGAGAGGACTCTTTAAAGTAGAGACACTACATACTGATATACACCTGAACATCAGCAGGAGAGAACTCTTTAAAGTAGAGACACTACATACTGATATACACCTGAGCATCAGCAGGAGAGGACTCTTTAATGTAGAGACACTACATACTGATATACACCTGAACATCAGCAGGAGAGGACTCTTTAAAGTAGAGACACTACATACTGATATACACCTGAACATCAGCAGGAGAGGACTCTTTAAAGTAGAGACACTACATACTGATATACACCTGAACATCAGCAGGAGAGAACTCTTTAAAGTAGAGACACTACATACTGATATACACCTGAAACATCAGCAGGAGAGGACTCTTTAATGTAGAGACACTACATACTGATATACACCTGAACATCAGCAGGAGAGGACTCTTTAATGTAGAGACACTACATACTGATATACACCTGAACATCAGCAGGAGAGAACTCTTTAAAGTAGAGACACTACATACTGATATACACCTGAACATCAGCAGGAGAGGACTCTTTAAAGTAGAGACACTACATACTGATATACACCTGAACATCAGCAGGAGAGGACTCTTTAAAGTAGAGACACTACATACTGATATACACCTGAACATCAGAGGAGAGGACTCTTTAAAGTAGAGACACTAATTACTGATATACACCTGAACATCAGAGGAGAGGACTCTTTAAAGTAGAGACACTACATACTGATATACACCTGAACATCAGAGGAGAGGACTCTTTAAAGTGGAGACACTACATACTGATATACACCTGAACATCAGCAGGAGAGGACTCTTTAAAGTAGAGACACTACATACTGATATACACCTGAACATCAGTGGGAGAGGACTCTTTAAAGTAGAGACACTACATACTGATATACACCTGAACATCAGCAGGAGAGGACTCTTTAAAGTAGAGACACTACATACTGATATACACCTGAACATCAGCAGGAGAGGACTCTTTAAAGTAGAGACACTACATACTGATATACACCTGAACATCAGCAGGAGAGGACTCTTTAAAGTAGAGACACTAGATACTAGGGGTGTAACGGTTCACAAACATTTCGGTTCGGTACGTACCTCGGTTTTTTGGTCACGGTTCGGTTCGGTACGTTTTCGGTACAGCAGAATTTTTTTTCACAAAACAAAACATATATATATATTTTTTTATTATTATTATTAAACTGTGAATAATGTATTCACTCAAATAAATACAAAATATAATAAAATAAACATTAAGGTGCAGCATTTCGATGAACTGAAATAATCTGTATTTGAACTGTACTGTACTAGCACCTAAGTAGCCAGTTTGACATTAGGACTTGCTTGTCATTGTATTTTCATGTTTTTTTTTAAAGAAAAATGAACTTGTCCACATTGCTTGCCGAAAGGGCAGATCTGCTGGCACTAACAATGTCTCCTGCTGTGGAGAAAACCCTCTCGCTAGGGACAGAGGTAGCAGATACAGCCAGGTAGCGCTTTGCTAACATGGCAACATAAGGATATTTGGCGTTTGTAATAGCTTTGGCTCGGTCTGAACTCTTTACGAGTGGTGGAGGCTTAAATGCTAGCGGGAGTTGGGTTTGCACTTCAGTCTTTTGGTACCGGTGATATTCATGTTCGGGTGATGCCTTTTCAAGAGTGTGCAAGTTTGATGTATTGCCAGCCGCGTAACCAATTTTAGTTGAACAATGCCGACAAACAGCTTTGGTTCGGTCCACCTGTCTTTGTCCGTCATCCTTGTACGTAACTGCGAAACCAAAATGTTCCCAAACCGGAGACTTCAATGATGCTGGAGGATTTTCGAGCTCAACTTTATCTGCGTTCGCCATTAATTTTCGACAGTTCCTCAAATTACTGATTACATTTGAACGCATCCCTCTGACCAGCTCTCATAGTATGCCTCTCATCCAATGAAATGACTTGCTCGCTCTATGACGCGTTGAACCCAATGTGAGCAAATTACTCTGAATGCTGCGACGCAGCACCTGAGATTACTTCCAAAAAGTTGTTCACGTTCTCAATTTTTTACGTTTAACGTTATATTCGTTCGATACACTTCGGTACACACCTGTACCGAACCAAAGGGCCCGTACCGAATAATTTCGGTACGGGTACGTGTACCGTTACACCCCTACTAGATACTGATATACACCTGAACATCAGCAGGAGAGGACTCTTTATAGTAGAGACACTAGATACTGATATACACCTGAACATCAGCATGAGAGGACTCTTTAAAGTAGAGACACTACATACTGATATACACCTGAACATCAGCAGGAGATGACTCTTTAAAGTAGAGACACTACATACTGATATACACCTGAACATCAGCAGGAGAGGACTCTTTAAAGTAGAGACACTACATACTGATATACACCTGAACATCAGCAGGAGAGGACTCTTTAAAGTAGAGACACTACATACTGATATACACCTGAACATCAGCAGAGATGACTCTTTAAAGTAGAGACACTACATACTGATATACACCTGAACATCAGCAGGAGATGACTCTTTAAAGTAGAGACACTACATACTGATATACACCTGAACATCAGCAGGAGATGACTCTTTAAAGTAGAGACACTAGATACTGATATACACCTGAACATCAGCAGGAGAGGACTCTTTAAAGTAGATACACTACATACTGATATACACCTGAACATCAGCAGGAGAGTACTCTTTAAAGTAGAGACACTACATACTGATATAGAGCTGAACATCAGCAGGAGAGGACTCTTTAAAGTAGATACACTACATACTGATATACACCTGAACATCAGCAGGAGAGGACTATTTAAAGTAGAGACACTACATACTGATATACACCTGAACATCAGCAGGAGAGGACTCTTTAAAGTAGAGACACTACATACTGATATACACCTGAACATCAGCATGAGAGGACTCTTTAAAGTAGAGACACTACATACTGATATACACCTGAACATCAGCAGGAGAGGACTCTTTAAAGTAGAGACACTACATACTGATATACACCTGAACATCAGCAGGAGAGGACTCTTTAAAGTAGAGACACTACATGCTGATATACACCTGAACATCAGCAGGAGAGGACTCTTTAAAGTAGAGACACTACATACTGATATACACCTGAACATCAGCAGGAGAGGACTCTTTAAAGTAGAGACACTACATACTGATACACACCTGAACATCAGCAGGAGAGGACTCTTTAAAGTAGAGACACTACATACTGATATACACCTGAACATCAGCAGGAGAGAACTCT